CAAACGGAATTTATCAACGGAAGTTTAATTTAAGAATGAATCGTGCATCACCGTGGGTGTTCTGTATATTTGTTTTTCTCCACATTCTTTTTCCCGCAATATTTTGAAGAGGTATATTATGTAAAAGTGCGAAAGATTTCCAGATAGCCAGCATTGTAGCCTACTTCCAGCAAAGATGGTTCTCTCTCATAGAATTATGAATGAACTGAACAAACTTAATGTTTCATACCACACCTCTTCTCCAAATCAAAATTTTTAAAACTCCGCTAGAAAGCTTTATCTGAAACCAAAATCCCATAAAAAGATCTAATTTGAAATTATACAATAAGGGTAAATCTAGGGTTGGATGGGGGGGAATTGGTGCTTGGTGGGGTATATAAAATGAGTCCCCTTTTTATCTACATCTAAATAAGTAAACAAATAGATGTCTCTCTCCCGGTGAGTAAGCCTATTTTTAACAAGTCTAGCGGGGTAATATAACGTAGGCCCCTATAGGTGTCTATAGTAAATATATATCCTTTTCTGATCCACGCCTCTTGATCTATGCTTGAATAATTCGATGACATTTTATTGAAAATAACGAAGAAGAAAGCTGTTGTTTAGCAAGAATCTCGATTGTTTGAATTGAAGGTTTCGTAATTGGTAAAACGCGGTGATAAAAATATATGTGACCAACTCGCTCGTCATCAAAATCCAACTCATGTCAATGGTTCTAATAGTTCTATTATGTGCACATCCGTTTGTAAATAATTCTTCGGAGGATATGAAATGAAATTTGGTTTGACGTCCTACTGTTTTGCTCGTTTTCCGAAGGAATAGGCAACACTTTACTGCGCCAAATGCGCCACCCCTAACAAGTAGAAATTGGGCTTGAAAAATCCTCATAGTAATTAATAAGTTCTGTTGTTGTAGAAACGCGCGATCGAGGAAATTTACTTTACATTATACTGTTGTCCTGCTTGTCCGTCGTTCATTTTACGTCTAACACCGAATGTGTGTAGGTCTAAATCTAGACAAAATCTCAAACTTGAGGCTACTGTAGATACAAACCTTACCAATGCAGGATAACTGTATACCAACAAACGTTAATTCAAGGGAAAGACAATGCACGAATCGCCTAGAGAAAAGAATGTGAATGAATTAACTTCAGGAATCTTGCATGTGCTCTTCCGGAAACTTTAAAAGAACAAAAGGATATGTCATAATTTAAGTATTTTAAATAAGGATGTGGGCTAAATTAGCTTTTAGCAAACAATATAATGTTTTCCAAAACACAATACTACACTGTTATATTTTTTAACATCGCATTATAAAGGATTGGCTAATTTAACCGTCTACGACCTTTAACATATATCACGTTGCGGTCATTTTTTACAAATTCCCATCACATGTTTTGTTGATAAAACGTGAATTAAATAAATAAATGAGGATATTTCATATCTACATGGACCAGCCTAACCAAAGTGTTGCAATGCCAGTATATTTATTACGCACTTCGTGTTAGTAAGCACACGTGAACTATGTCCCGACTATCCCCTCGGGAACTTAGATTTTATGTCTCACGCAAGACCCAATCAACCCCGCATTAAAGTAGCTAAGTCTCTAACTCAATATCATCCAAAATCTTCGATATTGAAAACACGATTTATTTGTCGTTTTAAATCAACATTGATGTTGTTATCTTATCGGGAAAAGATGGCCTTCTGATATCCAATATTTAAGACAAAATAAACATTTTACATTTGGTACACGAATCGTGTACAATAAAGCGTTTCAGCGCTAGTTGTAATAAAGGACTCGAACAACGAGGCTAGGGATATTCCACAAGTCATGTCAAACGGTGACGCTATATTCTGATCTAGAGAGCTAGCCCAATAAATAATATCGGCGTAGACTGGAATAACCAGACGCTAGAGATTAAAATTCGATTGAGAATACTGGCGTATTTCGCCGAACCTAACTGATTAGAAATTACAGTAAAAACAGAAACGATTGATTGTAAATCAATTTATATACATTCATATTACATTATTGTATGCGTTGCGACCCATTTGTGTCAATTTCTAGGTCCCAAATATTAGCGACTTAGCTCCTTTAAACTATATTAACATCGAATAACCACTATAAATTAATCGAATTATTGATTTTGAATCAGTAGATGAGTGACGGTTATAGATAATTATCTCAGTAGAATACGTAATTAATGTAGATAAAAGGAACCTGCATGAAGATATAAAACCAAGCCTGTAATAAGTTGTTTACATAATGCTGGGGATGGTACTAGGGGTACGTGACGAAATATATATTTTAACATTTACCTATATCTTTAATATCCGTTTCAATGTTTTAGGGTAGTTCTTGCTCAGATCATTTTATGACTAAATAAAGTAAAAGAATGGATTATTATTAGTTAGTAAATTGAAATGAAATTAAACAACGAGTTTAACGTCCTACGTTTTGGCACCAACTTTAATGAAGATTCGCTTACGCTATACAGTGTCCGGACAGCCGCCATACGGCCTATTCTTATTTCTAACCCAACTGTCAATATTGTTCTTTTACGTACTATGAACGCTGGATTCTCGTCCCACCCCAACGACTTGACGAAGTTCCTTGCCAGGCCCTCTGTCCTGCACCACTGGTAAAGGAATATCACACTGGAATATCTCGAGAAAACTTTCTCTGCCAACACCGAGATCGAACACCCGACCCCCTGGTTAGTGACCCAGACCCTCTGTCCTGCACCACTGATAAAGGAAAAGCACACTGGAAAATCTCGAGAAACTTTCATTGCTAACACCGAGATCGAACTCATGGCCCCTGGTTAGTGAGTCAGTGTTTTACTGACTGAGCCACCATGGCTCCCGGAAAAGAGTTACTTTTGGATTAGTAATGCATCATTATGAAGAGAAGTGTTAGAGTCCAGAGACTCGCATTATTTTCTGACAGCTAGTTCCCAGATACTTTAAAAAGCTAAAAATAATTCACAGATAGTCATTTTAAAGATGATATATTTCGACTAAAAACATATTCAAACTAATTAATCTTTCAAAAATTTGCATCAAAGCCCCTTCAAAACATTGCATTCACGAGGAAATACCCCAAGCAATAAATAATCTATTAAAGTAAATCATGTTTGTGTCACTTGCTGTTGCTGCAACTAGCAACGGGTGAGAAGTCGGGGGGAGAATTCATTATATATACAAGACGATGTTGTCTTTAATTGCTATCCATTATCATAAATATCGAAGCCTAAGTAAATTCTCGGATTATCCCCTAACCACGTCTTTTCCAGTGGTTTTTATCTCTGAACCTGTTGCACGTTTAAGTTTCTCACTTTTTCCACGTCCGCTCACAATCAAGTTTATCAACATTACATTAAACATACATTATGCAAGAGCTAAATCTGCCTATTGCAAGTCTTTATTTAGGCTTCAGAAGTTATAGAAAATATTAATTGGACCTTTATTTACACGACAAGCTCAAAATCAACTCTGCAGACCCACGGATGGTTTGGATTTAAACAGTCGTCCATTTAAAATTAAATCAATAAATGGCGGAACAAGCTAACGTTTACCGGTAGTCGCTGATGTCACTACCTGAAACTGGTCATGAAAGGCCTGTTAAGCGAGGCTGACATAGCCATTGGGCATGTTACTTGATAATCGAGAATATGTGGGCGGAGTTATCGTCTGTCAATCAAACGATCGCCAATTCTCATAGACGGCGCAGACACAATTGATGCCTATTTCTATCCCAAACATCCAACAGTGACAATTCCGTTCAGAACAAAGTAATTTGACTGAAATTTTCAACATCATCTATTTTTGAATTATTATAGCAAGAATGGCCAACTCTTTATAAAACACTTAACTAATGTACCTTTAAGCGCTCCCTAACGCCAAGAGTTCAGACAATCTATGCGTGCAACCTTTGACGTCACTCGAGCAGTTCTTAATCGTCATGCTGCCAATTAGTGACACCCTGTAAATTTTGTTCCGTGCGCGCACCATGGGTGTTTTTCGTGGAATCCAGTATTTGTCTAGTAACATTGGGTGTCAACTTTCCATATAATGCCAAAATTGCCATATTTGTATTGGAAATAACCACCCGATAAATACTTTTGCGGGAAAGTATCTTAATTTAAAGCTACGTATATCGAACTAGGTTTAACAGGTTGTATATCAGCTATATGTCCGCACCACTCAAACCCATGTAACTCTATTGTCATTTAATGAGCTTTTTTACCTCTCGAATTAAATTAATAGTAATATTTTATGGAATATCGTTATCAGTATTCTGTAAAAATTTTGGGAGCACTGGTCAATATTATGTGACAAAAGAAAGGCAGTTTAGAATGTACAAGATTCAAATACGTGCTACATTTGGCATCATTTAGACATCCCATATTATGGCAAAGCGTCAAAATCTAAACAGTTATTTTTATTTCCCTTATCAATAAGTAACACGGTAACTGAAACGACCCGGAAGTATCCCAGCATGATATGGTTTATCTTTTTTAAACCATTCATGAATCACATTAACACAATTAATAGCTTTATTCAATCCCATTCAGAGAAAAGGGGTTAACGTCCACTTAATATAAGTAGACTATTTCTGGCGTAACATGGTATATGTATATGAATATGCCCCACTGCTGAATCATGACCTCAATGCTTTGTAAAACAAAACAAAAAAGAGAAGCAGTGGGCCAATGCTGATAATGTCAATTGAAAATCAGGAGCTTTTGGTACTATTTGAGATATTTAGGATAACATCACACTTGTAGAACAAAGCACAGTTATTTTCCATTCATAACCGCTTATACATTTATAAGGTATGCCGGATTTAAAAAAAGATCTCGCTTCGGGGGTGACGGTGGAATTCAACGATTCAGATTCCTTTAAAATAAAAACTCCGTATTTAATATCGACAGTCTTACAATTCCACAACCCCTTGATTGCATTACAATTGAATATGCCATACAAAAACAAACTACATATCAATAAAACTAGCTTTATTTTGAATCAAATTCATTCGTGTTTTTCAGTATTTTGTTTTAGTTTCCATTTTTCATTTTCGCATGCTTTCTTAAAGGGCCGACATGCGAGAATGAAAGTTTAATATAAAATCAAACGCGTTCTCATTATAGATCCCAAATAATTTAAATACTAACTGTATGTTATATTCAGTTCAAATTAACATAATTTTTGTAACTATTTGTATAATACTAGTGTGTGTAGCACGTTCGAGATATTTGCGAACTGTCTGCCTTAAAAGTTACAAATCTTTTTAAACTAACTCGAATCCCACCGTTTCCTTAAAGTATATCGTATACAGATTAAAAAAAAAGGCCGGTTGGTGTAAATCGATTTCTTGGCCGTCTGCCTCCTATGTAATTTAGTTACTTGATGATAAAAAATATTACCCCCCCCCCCCCGGCCCCGTTCTGAAATCTAATTGGTCTACAGACTGAAAGGTAGTTGAGGACAGTGCCGAGGGCATTTTGTTTTGGAATTTTTTACATTCGCCTGAAAAAAACTATAAGCCGCGAATTGGATTTTAATAACCTGTATATGTTTTGGAGATAATTGAACTTAAATGCATCACAGACAACGTGTCTTTAGAACCGGAATTAACGAATCTGTAGAGCTGCCAACAAAGATTTTAAGGGAAAGGGGAGATGAATTGGGTAATTCCACTACACTGACTAGATTAAAAACTGGGCATATAATTCATAATCTTTAAAAAATTTAATACTGTTGAAAAAAAGAAATATCAAGAAAAAGTAATATTTTTGTCTTTATGAACTGTTTTAACCTTAACACAACTGGGAAGAACACATCGGGTCACCATTCTGGGTGCAATGGCATAAGTTACAATTATCCCAATATTTTTCACCGGGTTTAAAACCATTACAGTTCTTTTTTTCTACTGGTTTTTCTTTTCCGTTGAAACGAATACTCGAAAACATTGTTGGCATACGGAACCGTGGCTTATCAGGCATTTTGAATGGTGTTTGAGATACAGGTACGAGACCACCTGTCGATAAACGTCTGCTAGGCAATACATTCCCGTCAGTTTTATCATCAGTCGAATGATTGCAATGACGGCTTTTGCAGACAGGTTTGCCTTTTTTATTACATCGGCACCGTTTGCACCCATCTTTCCAATGATCGCCAATCTTGCACTCAGTCATACCATTTAACTTCAGCAGATTACAAGACTTCCCTGCACATCTTCTAGTACTTCGTGAAGAGTGTCCGATTTTTTTGTTCCTCATACATATACGATCAATTCGACAGAATGACAGCCCTTTAACTTTACAAATGCAATATTTACACTTATCATTCCACTGCTTTCCGGTCTTGCATTTTTTGCGACGAATTTTATATCCATCAACTTTCCGGGCCATGTAACGCGGATTTCCGCACGTGACACCACTCTCATCATCGCAGTAACAACGTTGTCCGCCTTCATACCAACGGGAACCAATATGGCAGCCTTTTTCTTTAGAAGGAATTAATGGCATAGGTTGATCATTGTATTCCTTTTCCACTGCTTCGTCGTTTAATTCAATGTTTGATGTCACTTGTTGCTCTGACAAAAGTATTCCATTTGGATGTATCTCCTGGGAATCCGAAGTTTGTGACAAACTTGTCCATGCACACGAAGGGACACCGTCCAAGCCACAAATACATAGATTTTGATCAGTGACGGGTATCTTGCAGTCTGCAGGGGCGTCACTCAACGATTTTACACATCTTTTGTTCACTTTACAACGTATACCTTTCGGTAAACATTGACAATGAAAACAGCCGTCTCTCCACGATTCACCAGGTTTTTTACAAGCTTGACGTGGGTGTTTATTGTCAGAAATTGAACACACGGCTTTAGTACACTTTTGTCCGTCTGCTTCACATGTACACCAATTGCACCCGTCAAACCATTTGTCCCCTTCGCTAAAATTTGAACCACACTTATCGTCAGCTGAGCACAGCGAAAAGAACAAGAAAGCAGTCGAATAAAACACAACTGATAGGTTAAGCGGTCCCATTGTCTTTGCAATAAATATATATCACACTTGAGATGATAAAAATAATAAACAAGAGGTCACCTTCTAGGGCAGTGAATTATCCGTGAACTGAAAGGTTTTTCTTAATCCGCCAAGTTTTTAATGCTGTCACAAGCCTGTAGTAAATGTACGTCTAGTCCCTTCACTTATCACCGATGCGTTACTAATCATTCCCCACTTATCACTAGCCGAATATAGGTTAATTATCCAAGAGCTTACTATCTAAACATGCTTTGCCTTTGTTTACGATTTGCTTGGAATTCGAGGAATTCTAGTTGTAGCTTCTGTAAAATATATAACAATTATTGAAATAAGTACTACTCACTGGCACATGACTTTAATAACATATACAATAACTTGGAAGTCAGCTTTTTAAAGAGACTATGGTCATAGAAGCAAATAAAACTTACTATACTAAAATTATAATTAAAAGCAATGTTCGAAATGGATAACGTCCAGTGATACGATCAACAAGACGAGAAGCAAATGTTATCAACAAACTTGATAAAACTAGTGTAATCTTGTACAATACTCTGAGAAGAGAACGCCGATTTAACCGAAGTAATCTATCGCCATTTTCCCTGATAGATTTTGAAAGAAATAAAAATGTTACACCCATAATTATTTTTAGCGGTTCACCGATCACAAAAGAAAAATGAAAAACATATAGGCCCTACCAAGATATGTATTAGACGATATAGTTTCTTTAACAAAATTTAGACAACTGTATGGCTAAATATTCTTTTCATATATGGAAATTCACCATGGATTAAATACCTTTCATTTACAATAAACTAAAATGATATGTCATAACTTAAAGAAATTACGTGTCTAAATCTTATAAATTATCATTTAAATACGAAAAATATTTATAAAGCTTATATTAATTTTCTACCTTGCAACCATTATTATTATAAATACAGACTCACCTCATTTCATTTTTAACTTCAATGAAATAGCTTTGTGTGTTTGCTTCAGACGATAATATAACCGACGGATAAAAAAGGGTTGTCTGCGTTTTAAACTTCTATTGGATCTCCTAACCTTTTGTTCACACCTTTTATTTAAATACCCGTTTATCCAGTCCCATTCAAGTTTATCTCTACTAGTGCAGTTAATTTGAGAGAGTAAACACGAAAACTTTATATAGTCCCGTTTCTCACACCTTCTCCAAAATCTATTTGAAACTAATAAACCACACATAAAGTTCATGCGAGTAGATTTCGTACACGTATATACACCGTGAGCATTAAGTTGTATGATGTACGTAAACCATCTACGTTACCAAGAAAATCCGTTTTATTAACACACCTACACCACAGTGTTAAAAGGTTCACTTGCTCAACCAAGCCAAATGTCGAGTATTATTATTACTATCATAAAGGTTTTGGCAAGAGAGGACTCAATCCTCTGCTTTAATAGATTTAATAAGGGGGATGGAGAACCTGTCAAAATGTTTGAATACATAGGGATTGAGATTTCATTGATATGATAATTATTTTGGTGAGTCAAATTGTGATTAATATCTGGTTTCCAGGCTAGCACGAAATAACATCACCATTCTCATTAGATGATGCCCCGGAGTTCGACAGTACTGTTTTACCACTCAAAATTTTAACAATTTTGGAAATTCATGGTATATCTCTTCAAGCGAAGAGTTTATCGTATGCTTTGCGTTTGTCTTGGCTGATGCGATTCAGTCCGGGTCCATAAGCCACTGTTCCCCCATTCAGTAATTTGACAAGGTGACGACGCTACTGCTCGACGTCCTGTAGTTATATTTCTTCTTTCTTTTTGTAAACAATATTTTTTTTTTAGTCAGTAAATGTATTCTGAATTTGGATTGAGGAACCGGTTATGCCTATGTGTAACCGCTTTCTCTACTGAAGTACATGTACCCAAGATATAAAAATGTATACAGTATAATACGGAGTTCGGCAAGGAACGCAAAATAAAAAAAAATATCTGGCCACAGAAATATAGATGGATACATAAAACAGAGACATTATATATTTAAAATGGTGGATTTATTAGAAGAACGGATGTAAATGGTATTGATTTTGTGGTGTGGTCCAATCATGGGATATCTCCAACTCATGCAAAACAGCCGGGAGTTTTATTTCCATTACACGTGCCTCGGGCCAGACTGGGAAGATTATGGAGCCCACATAATATGTATGTAATTGAAAATAAAAACGATACAACACCGTAAAAATGTATGTTGAAATCAAATTAGTTTTCTTCTAGATTTTCAACAGAAGAATAATTAAAGGATTAAAATAGTACCTGTTTTTAACCATTATTTATTACAATACATGTAGAGTGTACATATATCTTGCCAGACATCCTTTACATATATTATACAGTTCAACTTCTACACTCTTACCATCTTCATTAGCTGGTTGGTGCACACAATTAGGAGCTAAATACTATTTCATTTCAACGCTTTTAAACATCAAATGTTACTGGGGAATTGACCAAATTTGTGTACACACTTTATATTTATTGATCAAATACACGAATTCCATACTTTACGGGTATTCTCATGACGAATACGTAAAATAACTTGCGTTCCTGGTAATTTTCCAGCTGCTTATCTGTAATGCCTTTACACTGATTACTATAACAATGTTAATGTTGAGAAATGGTAAGTATTACTAATATTAAAGATGCATTTTGTAAGATTTAGATAACGAGCTGAATTGTACGTACATTGAAAATTTCAGTTAAATTACTTCATTTTGAGCGAAGTTATAAATGTTTGAAGAATATGTTAAATGTTACTGGGGAATTGACCAAAGTTGTGTACACACATTATATTTATTGATCAAATACACGAATTCCATACTTTACGGGTATTCCCACGACGAATACGTAAAATAACTTGCGTTCCTGGTAATTTTCCAACTGCTTATCTGTCCCCGATTGTACGTGGCAAGGAGTAGGGTCGCCTGTCCAACCTCGTGGGTTTTCTCCGGGTCCTCCGGTTTCCTCTCACTGCTAAAGACCCCTACGCGCAAGTGAATTATTGAATATTATTAAAGATGCATTTTGTAAGATTTGGATAAAGAGCTGAATTACATTGAAAATTTCAGTTAAATTACTTCATTCTGAGCGAAGTTATAAATGTTTGAAGAATAGCGTTGTCTCGATGTTCATCACTACCGTTGTTACGATACTAAACAAATTCTCGAGTATCCATTTTTAAATTCAATTATTAAATGACGATCGTGTTTCAATCCGTTGAAAATCACAGCTATCCCTTCCCCTTGTACCCCAAGCCGTGCTTATTGTGATTAATAGTCCAGGAGTTAGCAATGCTTTAATTAGCTTCTCGAGTACAAAAGGTTTGAGACCAGGAATTAGTAGATATGTGATCAGGGCCCAAAAACGCAACTCTTAAGTAATGCTTTTGGGGACACCAGCAGGGGGCGCCGGTCACATTACACTCCCCACCCCCAAATTATTTTTATAACAGATATTAATTTGAGTACAACAACCAAATCAATTTCAAAGTGTCCCTTGTTAGTGTCTGAATTAAATTGAAGAACTCTTAAATGCCCTGTAGGCTTTCAACGCACATCTCAAGTACACCTACGAAACATGTGTCAAAATGTCCCTTTTGTACTCGAGATGCTGATTAAATCTTTGCTAGCTCCAGGACAATAATGGTTAATCCAGAGCTACTCCTTATACTTGATCTGTTGCAAATTTGTACCCTGCTAATACCTGCTACAATTTATATCCACCCATTTCGCAAAGATTTCCGACCAATTTCTGATGAACTGAAAAGATGAAATTGCATATAATAATAAGCTCGATATTCAAAATTTAAATGTTAAACATGCATTATACAAGCGCTAAATCTGCCTTCAGGTCTTTCTTTAGGCCTGAAATGTTATCTAAACTATTAATGAGACATTAATTAACCTATCCAAACCATAATCAACTCTAGATGGCATCGCTAGCCTGCGATCTTTAGTGGATTGTGAGCCGATTTACTGCATAACTTTCCTTCACGATTTAACGATTAAATGGATAATTGAGACTATGCTGTTTATCGTACTGACTTTAGTAATGATGATCAAGGCTAGCCGGAAATTTCAACCGCTTACTTCTCGGTTCATAGTGGACCAATTTGAATGAAATTTTCAGCAAATTGCCGTTACAGTATCTAGTTTTTAACTATTATAGTGAGAACTGCCAACTCGTTATCGAATCTCAAATAATGTATCTTTAAAGATAGTAATTGTGGAATGCATTATTGGAAATTATTCTTTTGACATAATAAGAAGTATCATACAAAATATGACATTTACCGTTATTCAAATATTGAAATATTGAAATAATCAAATTTAAATACATAATTTAACTATTTAAAACAAGGCACAATCGAATTCCGGATCCAAAAATATTCAAGTCAGTCAATTTTACTTTTATTATTTCCAGTTAAAGTTTACATTGGTTTCTATTCATTTTTTTTATGTGTCAAACTTTATGTATAATAATTCTGCTATCTTTTTCGTATACATGTACATGTCAACCCATCACATATTAACAATAGTCTTTACCTCAGAATATTACACATTTCTGACTTTTAGGATATGATGTATCCAATTTCTATTTAATGGATAACAACAGTCTTTATATCAAAAAGGTACAAAAGGTACAACCATATCTAGTTGGTTGTGTCTTTAAATTACCTGTGCTGAATTGGCATCGGTTTACATATTTGAAAATGTAACACATGTAGCCTAAAAAAAATGTAGATTTTATTAAAACGGATACATGTGTATAATCCCTAGTATTAACATCCTGTTGTTTCATTTCTCTACATCTTTTTTTAAATTATCAATTTGGGATGGGGAAAACATTATTTCTGAATGGAAAACATATCGGAAGAAAAGACACATTATACTTCTATTCAAGCCCATGACATTTTATCTGACCTGGGTGGATATCACCGATTATTTTTAGGGTACCTTACTAGGATGACACCGAACTGCTATTCCGTCTATTTTGGACTTTGTTCAAGAGACCCGCATATAAAAAAACCCTAGAAACCGGTGACATTATTTTACCGCGTGTTATGTCTATTTCTAATAATGATTATGTGATCATTTCCTTGCACCATGCCGAATTGTCGTACTACATTAACTTCACCTTACGTAATCCTAACGCTAACCAATTCAGAGTAAAATTGGGTAGATAGTGGGTATGATTGACACGGAAATGTCAACGGTTTGGTTACAGATTTAGCTCCCATAAGCTGCTTGATAAATATAAATATAAAATTCAGAAGTAGTACATCCATATAAGTGAGGGGGGTTGGATGGCTGAATGGTTAGCGTGCGCGCGCTGTATCATAAAGTCTGTCACTGAGTCGACCGGCGTGGTTTCGAATCCCCGGTTGTACGTGGCAAGGAGTAGGGTCGCCTGTCCAACCTCGTGGGTTTTCTCCGGGTCCTCCGGTTTCCTCCCACTGCTAAAGACCCCTACGCGCAAGCGAATTATGTAAATAAAATTAAACCATATGTTAGTCCCGAAATGTTTTAATTTTAAATATAAACCGATTTAGCAAAGTTACTTGACAAATAAAATGGGAAGAATAGGCGAACCTCGGTAGGTACTTCGCCTAAGCGGTGCTAGGCCTGCAGCCAAAATTTCTAGCTTGCTTAGAAACACAATTCCACTACATGGTCCTCCCTAATAAATAAACTATACATTTTTGGAAAGCTTATAACACCAGGAACACAAATCCCTAGAGTTCCAAGCAAAAAGTATGCACTAACTCGATTTAGCGTCAGATAAATTGTCAAGTAAATGCTATATTTATACTAATAATTGTGAGGTTGACATAACATTAAATATTGGCGAAACATCCAATGCCTTCATCCTAGGCAAAGAATATGTTATTGTTAAATTTTGATTTAAATCAAAATGCAGAAAACATAATGGACAAGGGAACATACAGAATTTTGGAAATACATTAACGGTAATAGAGAGTTATCTCCCTTTCTGTCAAATGTCTGCAATTGGTAGGCTAACAGTATTCCAGGTGCATGTTGACTGCTGATGCTGTATGACGCACAAGACCATAGGTGAGTACACAAGCCCAATATTTATATCGTCAATGGGGTCACAGGGGACTGCAAGGGTTGGTGAGCGGGTGTTTACCCAGAAATTATGGGCGGAGCGCCTAGTCTGATGAGCAAGGAGATATGTTTGACATTGGGTGAGCAATATGTCTATGAAGTAATG